CTGGGTATCATATGAAGTGTATGGATTGCTTTAGGATCGTGATGAATTCCATTGAACACGATGAGGTGCTCTCACTGTGAGAGGCACACAAGAACTGAAACTGACTGAAAGGCAATAGATTGATACTTCCCATTTCAAAGCTCACTGTGGACATTTGCTTATCTCTTGGAATGGTAGTCAGCTATCCAAACTATATTTTCATCCCTTTTTCCTCTTTTGATTAATGAGCATAGTTCAATAGACTCGCAACTAATTAAGTGGGCTGATTATGTAGCTCCATCTTCAGTAGATTACTGTTCTTGTCTCTAATGAGTGGTTCTCAGCTGTGCTTCATATGGCAATGCCTGGAGACATTTCTGGTTGTCACACCTGAGCACGAGGGAACAAGGGGAGGTGCTATTGGCATCTAGTGGGTAAAGGCCAGGGATCCTGCTAAACATCCTATAATACACAGGACAGCCCCCCCAACAAAGAATTATCTGGGCCAAAAAGTAGTGGCAAGGCTAAGAAACCCTGAGTTACATTGTGTGCGTGCTCTACTCATGTAGTCCTCCCTTCATAGTGTTTGCTTTGACATAAGCACAAGCTGAAATATTTGTTACTGGGCTGCAGGGAAGGATGAGCATTAGTCTCTGCAGGATTAAACATATTTTTAAATTAGCCTTCCCTTTTTATTTTTGTCAGAAGTAATATATGGTCACACGTGTGTGTGTGCATGCACACACTTAAGCAGGACTTGGAGCAGTTCCCACCCATTCTTCCCCACTTCTAGTTCCATTTCCCAGAGTTAGCAACATTTAAAGAGTTTTCATTTTTAATTCTTTTGGTGGTTGCCTTTCTTTTCTTTTTTTAAAGTTTATTATTTTTTTACATTCTATGATGTTGCAGAGCAGTTTGTGGGGGGGAGCAGAGGGGGAAGGAAATGGGCTGGGAGAAGCAGGAAGGAGGAAGGGTGGGATTGAGGCCTGTGGCTACCCCCTCATTCCTGTAGGGGAGACCAGGGGGCTTCCAGCAGTGTCTTGGTCATTGCTGGGCTGGGTGCAGATGTTGGGGGTGTGTGGCTGAAGCCTTCATCCCACCTTTGCCGCAGCTCAGCAGCCTGGGGCACTTCTTGCAGTAGCTTGGTGGTTGTCACTTGGCTGGGTGTGGGTGTCGGGGGCATGACTGAGGCCCAAGGGCCCCCCCCCCCCCAGGTTGGGAGAGCCCAGGGCGCTTCCTGTGGTGGCTCAGTGGTTGTCGCTGGGCTGGTTGCAGGTGTTGGCGGTGTGTGGCTGAGGCCTGAGGTCTTGGTGGTTGCCTTTCTAAGTCTAAATAATATCCTTGTACTATTACCTATTAATTTAAGAGATTATCTGTTGACTCTTCATTGCAGAAGGTGAAGATTTAGCTCAGGTATACTAAACCCTCCCCTTCCCTCTTCAAATTTTTGTTAGTTTATATCCAGTAGTTCTTTCAGTGATTCTTTTGTAAGTCTAAATAATACATTTAAACCTTTATTTTTGTCCCACTGACTTTAGACAGTATCTTTTGATTCCCTGTTATTAGTGCTCCTGTCCTTTTTCTTAACCTATCCTCTCCCTATTTCCCATAGTCTGTCTTCTGTACCCTCACATTGTCAAGGTTGACAATATTTACTTTCTGTTTTGTAATCATATTTAAGTTGTTTGTGTTTTTATCTATAGGTTGAGTCTAAAAGTTGAAAAACGAATGAATAGCTTTTATAGACCATGACTGTGTAAATAATGTTCACTGCAGACTAAGTTGAATTTTGGGTTCCCGTAAACTTCTCTATGCATGATGTATCACAGCTTCTGTGTCACTTGAAAGAATGTTCCTAGTATTCTAACATTCTGTTTTCCTTCACTGCATCCAGTGCTGTAAAATCATACCACATTCAGTTGGTACACTGACGTTTAAACACATATTAAGAAAGGTCAGAAGTGGTGGTAAAATTGCATAGTGAATACTCAAAACGTGAATGACCTGCACAGATATTATTACTGAGAAAAAAAGATGAGAGGAAAATGATAGAAAACACAGAAAGACAATAATTTCAAAATCACAAGGGTACATTCCATATGGCCAGCTTTGTGAGAGTTGAACTGTATTTGAATAACTCATGTCTCTCAATCCAGATCCAAAGATAATATTGCTGTTGCTGAAACTTGTGCTTTGTACTGTAACCAGGGTTTATTAATTGTCCTATTTCATTGAGGAAAAAATGCAAAGCAGACAGAACACTGGAGTAACTAGCTGGAAATATTTCATTAGTTCATGGGAAGCAGCTTTCCAAATGATTGCTGTGGAGGCCAAACTCTTGGTCTAGCCAAAATAGCATTAAAGTGTGCCTTGATGGCACATTAAAGAAGAAATTTACCCCCAATTTACTTGATTAAGATTTCTGCCCCGTCAAAACATAGCATTGATTTCTCTAATATCAAAAATAATTTCCTAAAATAGATTGCTAATGATTACTATTAGTTATTTATATAAGGAGGGTTGTGCTAAGTACTGCTTGTATGAATTCCTGTGAAAGGCTGAATTAATTTCATAATTTTCATGATTGTTATTCCTGTTCTGTAAGAATATGCTATTAATGTGACTGATCATCAGCACATCTCATTTTTGTATCTCTCAAAACATCTTTCATAAAACCTTGATTATATGAAAGAGCTGAAAAATATTTGTTATTAGTAGACCAAACAATAGTTCAATTACTAAATACCAAAAAAATTCAAGTTGCAGCTTAAATAAAACCTATCAGATATTTGGCAGAGGAAATGGAACGATTCAAGTAATATGGTTTTCAAAAATAAAGTTCTACAACCCCCATTATAGTCATCATAGAATATGTGAACCCACCCTCCCCCCCCAAAAAAAAGGAAAAGAAAGACTAAACAATCATTGTTACCATTTATGTGTAATTCATTCCAGTCTTTATGTGTTTTGCTTTATAGATCATACTTGGATCCTATTTTTTTCACTTGAAATATAATTGCCATAGTTCATGTTATTATAAACATAGTTTTTAATGACTATGTATTATTCTATCAGGTATACCTACTATAATTTACTTAAATTTAGGTTAGTTTTGTTTTTCCAGTATAAATAATGCCATGATGAGTATCTTCACATATAATGATTTCTCTTGATTTTAGTCTTATTTCCTAAGATAGAAGCTCTCTGGGATCAAATTTTAAAAATATTTTAAAGGTTAATTGTTCAAATTATGTTCCAGCAATCAGTACCAGTTTACACTGTTCCCAGCTTTTTAAAAAATTGCCCAAATGACAGAATAGAACTTTAAAAGTATTTCACTAGTGTTGTTTTGATTTATATGTTGAGATGCTCCAGAAAACCATTAAAAAGAGAGGATGTAGAGATAAAACATTTGGCTGACTGTGTACACATTTTATTTTAGTAAAGCCTCAGTGTTAAGCCAGAAGCCATTATTCATATTCATGACGTCTCAGGCATGGAAAAGCACTTCTAATTTTTGCAATGTAAAAGTCCAATGACAGTGACAGAACTGAATGACTAGCCAGACATGCTGACTGGAAAGCTAGAATTAGGACTTGAGCACTGTGTTCAGTCTCCATTTAAAAATCTAATGCTTTTTTTTACTCTCAATTTGAGAGTTTGCTATATTTAGAGATATTTATGTAAAACTAAAAAATAATGGACCCTGAAAGCAAGTTTGATATTGCTAAAATATATGCCACTATTGTTAAAAGTTGCAATTAAAACTCTTCACTAAGCTGTTTGAGTAGATTTTCTGAAATAGTAAAGGCTGTGTTTTAATTTTTAAAATTAAGAATAAGTGTTTGTTTATTTTTTAATTGGAACATAATCGATTAAATATATTTGTGGGTACAGAGATGACTATCAATACTTGTGTACAATATGTGATGTTCAAATCAGGATAATTACCCTATTCATCATTACAAAACATAATTATTTTTTGTGTCCATTAACCAATTTCTTGCTGATCCCTCACCTTCCAACCTCTAGTAACCACAGTTCTGATTTGTGATTGTTCTTTCTTTCTTTAATAAATGTTTAACTTATTAAATTTAGATAATCGAAATACCAGTTCTGTTTTGGAATATTTCAATATTAACATTTTTGCTCATAGTAAAAGTATTTACTTTTTATGTTCCCTAGATATACAATCTATACTTATTTTCTGCTGTTTAAAAATAAAACAAACCCTAGTTTAAACTTTTTGATGAGTGTTATCTTGTTAACTTGCTCACTGATTGAGAAACTGATGCAAGATATAAGCTATAAGGCAGGTGGATCTAAACTATTAGGAGTTTGCAAAAATTAATATGGGAAGTGTTTGAGCTACTTTCCCTGTTTCAGAATGACTAAGAGAAATCACAAATTTACCTGTGATCAGCCTACACAGATTAACTTAACACAGATACAAAGAGGTATCAGATAGGTAGATAGGTGGTTGTTAGTTGGTGACCAATATTATACTCTTTGTGTTGACATTGGTTACTTTATACTGATCGGAAACTTTTGCTTAGGAAAAATGAGAAATAATTATTAATATGTGCAATTTGAGAAACAAAAATCTTAACTTTAGAACATGAGCTACATTAAGAGGAAAAATAAAAGGAGTACATGGTGATTTTTTAAAAAGTGAAAACCATCACTACTGAGTAAAAAGATATGTTCTAGAAAGACATCTGAAAATCATGGGCCATTGTGGGTTATATTTTGGGGTAAAAATTAAAGATTTGATGAAGAAAATTATCAAAGACCTTTACATAAAATACCCAATTAAGTCCAACCTTCTTTTTTTAGTCTTGTCTTTATTTGAGAATGTTCTAGAGAATTTTCTTTTCTCATACTTGTGTCTAATCCTGATTGGCCTGGGTCATAAGAATTATACTATACTTAGTTTGTAGTAGTGCAATTAACTTTTCCCTTTAAGAACTGGCACACAAAACTTTTTTTGTAAAAGTGAAAATTATAATTTCTCTTAACAGCTGTAACATCTTATGAAGATCTTGGACTCCTTGCATTTGGATTACCTGGAAAGGTGATTATTTTATTCTCCTTATTATGTCCAAAACCCAAAGAGGCATTTTTTTCCTTGTATCAAGTTAAAAGACAAATATATACTCATATAAGAGAAAGACATTAGGGGAATAAAAGGAAACTAAAGTGAGAAAAGCAGGCAGAGAAAGAGAAGAAGTCTGTGTGCCCTTTCTAAAAATGTATCAATAACTTTAATTCAATACTTAAAATTTTAAATATATTTCATCCTAGTAAAGGAGAATAATGATTTGAAGAATTTGAAATCAGTTGTTTGAAGTTTTTCTTATTAATTTTCATTGCATTCTCTGAGTAAATCTTCATAACAACAATAGAAGAAAGCAGTGTAGAATTAAAATTATAGTATGGCTATTTACAAAATCAGTAATTAGAAAATTATATCACTTAAGAGGTGAACAGTGCTAAAAGATTATCTAGTTAACCCGTCATTATATGTGAGGAAATTAAGGGGCCTGTTTGTCAACAATTGTAAAAAGCCAGTATCACATCCTAGTACTCTAGACTCTAAATCTATTGTTTTTCCTGCTCAAAATAAGAGAAGTAAAAGCAATACCTATTGGGCACTCACTTGCCCATTACAGGCATACTAAACTTATTTAAGAGGTAGGGGAAGACACTATCTTATTCCATGTAGACTCTAAATCTATTGTTTTTCCTGCTCAAAATAAGAGAAGTAAAAGCAATACCTATTGGGCACTCATTTGCCCATTACAGGCATACTAAACTTATTTAAGAGGTAGGGGAAGACACTATCTTATTCCATAGGTGATTAGGGGTTAAACACTACTGTTAGTGCTGTAGTACATTTTTATTTCTGAAGTGCTGCCATACAACTAAAATCATTCATTTTGGTTCCAAACAGGAATTTTTCTTTTTGTTTGTAAATCTGTTGCTTGTATTTTGTTGTTATTTTTTGATTGGGGAATAAAAATTGTGTATATTTATCATGTACAACATGTTGTTTTGAAATATGTACACATTGTGGAATGGCTAAATTGAGCTAATTAATATGTGCATCTACCTCACATATTTATCATTTTTTGTTTTGTTTTTAGTCTAAAAGGATACTGTATTTGTGGATGGCTAAACTAATGTCTAAGAAGTGAATCTGAGAGGAAACAGATATAGCTGTGTAATGGGGAGAAAAACCTGTATTTATATGCCAATTAAGTTTGTTTTTAAAGTATAAAAGGGAATGTTTAAATCATGTACTAGGTAGCCTCATGGCTTGGACTTTAATAACCTGAAACTTGAGCAAAACAGAGAATATATTACTTGAGGATAGAGAGTTTTGTTAATCATCCCTGATAACAATTTCTCTTTCCTACAGATCAGGATGTTTAGTGTAATGAGTGATCCATTTCCTGCATCTAGTTTAATCTGGAAGATGAAGAAAATGTTATTTGTATAAGAAAATTCCCTAATTAATTTAATATGATTTACAAACATGACATTAAGTATCATCACTGACATCACTGTCTTCACACATTAGTATTTTCTGCATTTCTTGTACAGCACCAACATCTAAAAGAAGAGTATGGATTATTGAGAGTCTGCTTTTCCTAAAATTCTAGAGGAGTTGCATTAGTATTTTAATAGATGCATTCAGTTCAGAGCAGGCAGGTACACTAGACAGAGCATACTCTGAATGAAGAGGAGTTGTTATTTGTTTCTTTGTTTCCTCCCCACTCCCACAGATATATGGATATGATATATGATAGGATAATATTGTACTGAGAATCAAAGAAATATTTTTGAAGTGTTTTGAACTTTTTAAAGAAAAATTTTTTAGGGTTTTTTTTTTTTTTTTTTGCTTTTTGGGACCGGCCGCACCGCGCTCAGCCAGTGAGCACTGTGAGCGCACAGGTCATCCCTATATAGGGTCCGAACCCATGGTGGGAGCGCTGCTGCAATCCCAGCGCCACACTCTCCCGAGTGCGCCACGGGCTCAGCCCAGAAAAATTTTTTAAATTGTCTATAAATCAATGTATTTACTCACCAGACAAATACTTATTGAGCAAATATCCTGCTTTATGCACTGTGCTAGACACTGAAGACATGGATAGGAAGGTAAATAGAATTTTGGCTTTTTAGATATTAAATGCTTAAATTCAGCCAAAGTATGGAAAAATAATCATTAATAAGATGATATTATTGCTTTTGTGCAAAATGTTTTTTTTTTTTTCCTTTTTGTCTTTTTTCATGACTGGCAACGGATCGCAACCCTCAGTGTTGCGCCTGTACCGGACCGGGACCGGCAACGGGATCGCAACCCTCGGTGTTGCCCCTGCACCTCGCTCAGCCAGTGAGCGGCCGGTCTGTATGTGGGATCCGAACCCTCGGCGGGAGCGCCGCTGCGCTTCCCAAGCGGCACACTGTAGGAGTGTGCCACCGGGCCGGCCCTGTGCAAAATGTTAATAGAAAAATTCAAATATCATGTGTGACTGACAGTAGGTATCATCTGTACTGAAGATATTGTACACAAGTTCAAAATTTTTTTCACAAATAAATGTGACATTTTGGAACCGATTTTTAAATGGGTTGAAAAAGTTGTTTCTGGAAAATGTTAGAGTGGCAATCACATCTCCAAAGACACCTTGCCACATTTTCATGTCATTGGCATTCCTCTGCAAACCCCAAGGCCTCTAGTCCTAACAACTTAGACCGTTTCCAGGATAGGCAAATGCTCTGCTACTGATGGGATTCCTAGTAGAGATGGGCCTAAAGAATGATCTGTTCCCAATCCTTGTAGAACCGAATGATGCTAGATAAATAGTCAGCTCCAAACACACACTGGGAGTTCCAGTCCACCAAGATTTGAGTGATGGTAAGGCCCAAGTGGAAGGACAATGATTAACCATTTCCTGTAAGGATATCTGATTACCAGTAATGGGCAAAGTGCTACCTTGAGTTTCCCAGGAACCTCATCAAAGATCATAAGCTAGCAAGCCAGCAGTCTGAACTTAGTCCTCAGATATATTCCGTTTGGTTCAAATCTTTTTTATTTTTTACTGGTTGCTAACTAAGAGTCATGAAGTTTTTTAAAAATTCCATTTTTGATGTTCCTTGAAAAATCAAAAGATCTGGCTACATTGGATTTACATTCTCACATGCCATCAGCTGGCCAGAACTGAGTAGCAGCTGCCCCATTTTGAAGTGGGAGCAGTTCTCCAATATACTACAGTTCTTGTCACCCCCTATTGTTTTATACTCAGCTTAACTTCATGTTATTTGTTTTGAAACATTTTGCCTAAATTTTTAGGGTCTGAGAGTATGTGGATGCTAGATTTTTCTGCTCTAGACTTTATTAATCCCTGGAAATATGCTCAAAGGCTTGGTGTGTGCCAAGCTGATATACTCAGAAGACTATATCATTTCCTTTTATTCAATACAGCATTGGCACAGCAAACCCCAAACTGTCTTGGTCTACCTACTAAATCACTGTGGTAAAACCAGTAAGAGTCTTTATCATGAACAAGTGTTGAATTTTATCAAATGTTTTTTCAGCATCTATGGATGATCATATGGACCTTGTGTTTGATTTTATTGACATGGTGTATCACACATTTATTGATTTGTGTATGTTGAACCAACCTTGCATCCCTGGGATGAATCCCACTTGATCATGGTGTATAATTTTGTGTATGTATTGCTGTAATTCTGTTAGCTAGTATTTTATTGAGGATTTTTGCATCTATATTCATCAAGGATATTGGCCTGTAGTTTTCTTTTTTAGTTCTGTCTTTGTCTGGTTTTGGTATCAGGGTGATGTTTGCTTCATGAAATGCGTTTGGGAGAATTGCCTGTGTTTCAATCCTTTAGAATAGTTTGCAGAGAATTGGTGTCAATTCCTCTTTGAATGTTTGGTAGAATTCTACTGTGAATCCATCTGGTCCTGGGCTTTTCTTTGTTGTGAGCCTTCTGATAACAGCTTCAATCTCTTTTATTGTTATTGGTCTGTTCAGATTTTCTACATCATCTTGGCTCAGTTTTGGTAGTTTGTGTGTGTCCAGAAATTTATCCGTTTCCTCTAGATTTTCAAATTTGTTGGCATATACTTGTTTATAGTAGTCTCTAATGATTCCATGTATTTCAGAGGTATCAGTTATAATATCACCTTTTTCATTTCTAATTTTTGTTATTTGGGTCTTCTCTCTTCTTTTTTTAGTTAGCTGTGTTAATGGTTGTCAATTTTATTTATCTTTTCAAAAAAACCAACTTTTTGATTCATTGATCTTTCATATCTTCTTTTGGGTTTCAATTTCATTAAGTTCTGCTCTGATCTTAATGATTTCTTTCCATCTGCTAACTTTGGGTTTGGATTGTTCTTGTTTTTCTAGTTCTTTAAGGTGAAGTATTAGGTTGTTCACTTGCCATCTTTCCATTCTTCTGAAGTAAGCATTTAATATGATAAATTTCCCCCTTAGTACTGGTTTTGCAGTATCCCACAGGTTTGGGTATGATGTATCGTTGTTTTCATTAGTTTCAATTAATTTTTTGATTTTCTGTTTGATTTCCTCTTGGACCCATATGTCATTAAGTAGAATGCTATTTAATTTCCATGTGTTTGTATAGTTTCCAGAATTTCGTTTGTTATTGATTTCTAATTTTAATCCAATGTGATCTATCCTGGAGAATGATTCATGTGCTGATGAGAAGAATGAATATTCTGAGGTTGTTGGAATGGAATGTTCTGTAGATATCTGCCAAGTCTGATTGGTCTAGAGCGTTGTTTAGATCTTGTGTTTCTCTGCTGATTCTTTGCCCAGATGATCTGTCCAATATTGATAGTGGGGTGTTCAGGTCCCCTGCTGTTATGGTATTAGTGTCTGTTTCTTTCTTTAGGTCTAATAGAGTTTGCCTTATAAATCTGCCTGCTCCGACATTGGGTGCATAATATTTATGATTGTTATGTCTTCTTGATGGATCAATCCTTTTATCATTATGTAGTGGCCCTCATTATCTCTTTTTATGGTTTTGAGTTTAAAGTCTATTTTATCAGATATAAGAATAGCTACTGCAGCTCGTTTTTCATTTCTGTTTGTGTGGTAAATCTTTTTCCATCCTTTCACTACAAGTTAGGTATAGATGGAAAGTATCTCAACATAATTAAAGCCATATATGATAAACTCACTGCCAATATCATCCTGAGTGGGGAAAAGCTAAAAGCTCTTCCTTTAAGAACAGGAACTAGACAAGGATGCCCACTCTCACCACTCCTATTCAACATAGTGTTGGAAGTACTAGCCAGAGCAGTCAGAGAAGAGAAGGAAGTAAAGGGCATCCAGATTGGAAAAGATGAAGTCAAGCTGTCCCTGTTTGCAGATGACATGATCCTATATATTGAACTGCCTAAAGCATCTATAAAAAAACTCTTAGAGTTGATAAATTATTTCAGCAAGGTAGCAGGATACAAAATCAACACACAAATATCAGTAGCATTTCTATTCTCCAATAGTGAATATGCAGAAAGAGAAATCAAAAAGCTTGCCCATTTACAATAGCCACCAAAAATTAAAATACTTAGGAATAGAGTTAACCAAGGATGTGAAAAATCTCTATGAGAACTACAAACCACTGCTGAGAGAAATTAAAGAGGACACAAGGGGATGGAAAGATATCCCATGCTCTTGGATTGGAAGAATCAAAATTGTGAAAATGTCCATACTACCCAAAGTGATGTACAGATTCAATGCAGTCCCCATCAAAATTCCAATGATAGGGGCCGGCCCGGTGGTGCACTGGATGGTGCGCCGCTTGGGAAGCGCGGCGGCGCTCCCGCCCGAGGGTTCGGATCCCACATACAGACCGGTTCCCGCTCACTGGCTGAGCGAGGCGCGGGAGCAACACCGAGGTTTGC